TTTTTTATGAAATTATTTTAACATTTTTAAATTCAATTTAACTGTTATTAATTTTATCATAACTACATTTTATTGTTAATATCAAATATTTTTCAACTTATTATAAAGATTCGAATAATATGTTGAAAGCATTTACAAAACGAATTTAATTGATATTTGTGTAATTGATGGAAACCATTTATGTAACGTGAAATATTATTGAATGATACATATGTTTCGAAACGGTGGGTGGATTTCCTGCTCGTAACCAATTAGGAAATCTGATTTACATTCGTTGTGCCAAAAAAGATACGGCTTTAATTAATAGAAATGATATTTTTTTCCAACGATGCGGATATGGAAACTGTTATACGTTTAATTTCCACGCCATTGTTGTAACAAGGAAAGTGATTAGTTTCCTCGCATTTACCAATGATTCTGCTTCATTAGGCGGCAATTACTAACGCTTCATACATTTTCCAATTCATCACCGGGAAATTATAAATCGTTCATCCGCTGGTGCTGTTTCGCATCTGCTCAATTTATTCCACAATTAAGTATAAATTTTAGTGCTAGTAAACCTATTTCTGCTTCGATCTTATTTAATTTGCGTACATGAATATAAGTGTGTATGTTTATTCAAAGCAACGTCGTGTATTTCCTTTAGAAACTGAACGAAACATACGGCAAGTAAACAGATCGCATTTGAGAGAAAGCAGAAAACAATGAGTTTTGGAAAATATGGTTTAAGAAGCAATTTTCTGCGATTTTTGCAAACCCACTTAAAAATTTGTTCTACTTGTATGTACATTGCGTGATATTTCACAAATTGTATAATTACTTATCACTGTATCTAATTACAAGTAATAGTAATAATTTTTACTCTAGTATAGTATTTCAAGTATTATAGCACTTTTAGTACTTTATAATAAGAATCAATTTACTTTCTATAGTATATATATAATTTTAATATTCAATTCATGGAAATTTATTTCCTGGTTCTTGTTTTTTTCGTAACATCGTCTAAATAGAAGTTAAACTCGGAGCAATGATCACATGATCTGCTTTATTTCTTAATATTATGTAATCGTCTCTTCACGTTCTATTAAAATAATCATTGAGACTGGTTTAAAACGTTACATTAATTTAGTTTTATTAATTTAATTACATTGATTTTGCTCGCTAATATTATGCTGTAAAATCATTTCGTTTTGTTATCCAATCTTTATTTATAATGTATCCCATTCGAAGTTTCATTAAATTAGTTTACAAATATTAAAAATAATAAAAATTTGCCTTTTTTTGTATTTTTTAATGTTTGTAAGACTTTTAGACTTTCTACAGTTTCTTTAATAATTTTAATGCAAATACAGTGGAACCTCGCTTAACGAACACTTCGCATAACGAGCACTTGCTTAACGAGCGACGTGACCAAGTTATACTTTTTTTTATTCTGGCAAGGAACGCATTATTGTAATTTATATTAGTTTATATGGGAAAACGAGTAAAAATCTTGAAATTTTTGAACGAATTAAATTCGTTAAGCGAGTTTCCACTGTAATTTGATTATAAACTAATTAAAAATTAAGAGATTATTGAAACAAATTCTTATATGGAAATGGAAACGTCACTTTATGATTAAAGTTTATTTTTAGTTATCAGCTGTTTCTGTTAATTAATTTCCAAACAGTATTTAAAAAATGGAAACACTAAATTTCAGTAACTTACACTTTTCTTCCTTATCACCAGTTCGGATCAAAATACCGAGAATTCGGACATTCGAAATGTCGACAGTATTAAAATCTTGACACAGAAAATCCCGACAGTATATTTTATTATATAATATATAAACTAAATACAAATGAATTTGAAAATGAGCGTTAATAAAATAATATTTGTGAAATAATTCCGTCACAAAAAGGCAGTGATAAAATTTGTGTGCGTTTAATGGTGAATGAGAGAATCGTGGAGAAGTTGTTCTCAATTCATAACTGTATACCTTATGTGTGTTTGTTATAGAAGAATACAATTCGGGATTATGGTTGTCGGAATTACGATTGTCGGGCATTTTTACTTCGATATAGACTCATATCTCACATGTTTAATTCTTTGACTAGGGAACCGAAAATATTTTTGGAAACTAAACTTTTATCTATTTTACTATTTGCAAACCGAGGCAAACTTCTCATAAAGTTTGCACTGTATTTGTTTTAATAGTATTCATCTAGTTTACTAAAAAAAAGTATATGAAGTATTAAATATTAGTTTACTAAAAGAAATAATAAAATCGTGTATTTGTTTACTAATAACTAAAATGTTAATACTAACATTTTGTTACGAAAAAAGTAAGTTTCATATTTATCTCGTATACATTTGGATGGAAATGAAATCATCATTCACACGCACAACCTTATTTTTTTATATATACACGTGAATCGCTAATAACATATTGTTATAAAGTATAATAGCATTTGACATTAATCCCAAATTATCTTGGCTAACTTATATTTATTACAACTGAACTAGGCTGAAGCAGATAATTTGTTCCATTGTTTCGTTACATTGGCCTTGTTTCTTGATTTAAATATATATATAAAAAAAAGAGAGGTGTAAATCACGTTTAGAAACAATTTGTAATATTCGATATGCATTTTCATTGAAAAATTGCAATAGTTTGTAAAAATGTTTTTAACAATAATTATATCAAAATTTTAATTTTTAATTTTTATCTAAATAAAAGAGGTATAATCTCATTAAATTTGCAGCAACGTTTCGAAAACTCTCTCGACTCATTATAACCAATTGTCATTTAATTTTATATCTAAATAAGTAAAAGTGTTGTTTAATTAATTATTTCGTGTTGATAAACGTCATGGAATAAGTAAACACAATGGGAATTGTTTTCAGTGTTGCATTTTTCTGTAGTTTTTGTTGTAGCAACAAACGACTTTGAGATAAGGTTTTCTGACGTAAATTCAATGTTAGAAACCTAGACTAGATAATATTATAAAGTGAATTTGCTGTATTTCAAATTGTGCTATTTTCTCGAAGATAATGTGTTTACTTAAACGATTTCGATATAGTCGGAATTTTGATTGTCGGGATTATGGTAATCGAGATTTTGACATAGTCGGGATTTCGATATAGTCGGAATTTTGAGCCAGCCGGGATTTTGACATAGTCGGGATTTCGATACACTCGAGATTTTGAACGTCGGGATTTCGATACACTCGGGATTTCGAATGTCGGGATTTTGAACGTCGGGATTTCAATACACTCGGGATTTCGATAGACGGGATTTCGGTTGTCGGGCTTGGCGATTGCTACCGAATGACTCATAATTTAGTATTATTTTCGCAAAAACAAAATTGAATAACTAAAGGTCAATTGATTATTACTAATTCTAAACAAAAAAACAATAATTAGTTACAACTGATTAATTATATAAATAAACGCAACATTAGAAAAGAGGAAATGATGATCAATGGTATTAAATATGTTAATGAATACTATTCATTATTATATAAAATAATTTTTATTTTATTTAAATGACTTCGTTTAATTGCGTGCGAATTTAATTGATTTTATTCGTTTTTAATTAATCGCGATTTCGTTTATAAATAAAAACATAACAAAAAAAAGCGTATTGCATTCGTAATTTTTGGCCGCGAAATTAATGAAGGAAGATACAAAAGAAAATTCAAGGTTTGCAGATAGCGCTAATGAGGAAACGTCAAGGTTTCAAAGTCGTTCGTTGACTTTATAGTTGAGACGTAAAGTAAGGCAATGAGAAAACAAAAAAAAAATAGAGAAAAAACAAAACAATGTTTATAATTGCACAACGTTTCAGGGCTAAAGCTATTGTTAATTTCTCTTTTGTTGTTTGCAGGGTTGCAAGATGCGAAGAATCAAAGATGCATTACTTCCGGTCGAGGCGTGATGTGCAATGAGGGAACTAGAGGATTATATTGTAGAAATGGAGAATAGAAATTTGGAAATGGGCCAGAGCAGCGAGGATCTCTTGACGCAGTTGCGTCTCAAGGAAAACGATTTACAATTGGCAGCGGAACTGGGGAAGGCCCTTTTGGAAGAGAACGAAACTCTGAAGAAAAGACAGGATAGCATCGTCGAAGAATACACTAAGAAACTTGAAGTGAGTTTATTTCTTCTTTATATTATTGTTTAGTCTAAGGTATTGCAGCTAATTTAAGTAATTAAGTATTATATTAAATTGACGTTATACAATTTATTTGCACTACTTATAAAATAATTAGAGTATATACTTTAGGTATTACATCAAAATAAGTGTATTTTTAATGTAATCATATTTTCATCCCTTTATAACAGTGGTTTCCAAACTTGATGTTACTACGTTTCCATCAACTTTGAACGCGTATTACAGCAATATGGATAAATATGCATATATTGGATTCATTCTATCTATTATAGTTTTCGAGTAAATCAATGAAATGTGAAAACATTGCTTTTTCGAACGTTCTAATTTCAATTTTTCAACTTTGAACGCGTATTACAGTCACAGTTTGGAAAACGCTGCTGTATACAGTTTAGTCTCTTTTTATGTTGTTAAATTATATTTTATTTATTTTTTCGATTTGTCCTGTTTCAAACAGTCCGGTATATTGGCATTACTAAGTGAGGTATTGCTGTTTTATTTTTTATCCAGTGACCATTAACTCGATTGTTATTACTGATATTTTTCAAAAAACTTACCCGAGTTTAAATAATATCAATGCATTAAGAAATTTATTAAATGAATGAAAATTATTATTTTTATTCAATTTTAGAAGCAAATAGAATGTATAAATTTTACATAAATTGTTTTTTTACTGCTGGCGAAATTCATAGTATACTTTATATTATTACATATTCAAAAATTGTATTTTTTAACGTATGTAATTTGCTTTTGAGATAAACAATATAATTTTCATAACAATTGATATTTTATTATATAAAATTTAACGATTTTGTTAATAAAAAAAACCAGTTTTGCGTAATACTATTTAAAAATAGATACATAATGCATTTTTTTATGAAAATTGTTAATTAACATCATTAATGAATATAAATGTTGTTAAATTAGTTAAAACCGTGAAATAGTTTAATTACTTAACAGCTAGTTTAGGTGTCTGTAGAAATGTTTCGTAATTATTTAAATTAATTTACGATTAATTAAAACACTTGGATGTCAATGTGAAAGCTGTCGTTGCACTTAGATTGCATAAGAAACGAACATTTAAATACAGATTGGATGTTTACAAAACGTTTATTTGCCGTTGAAAATTGCGAGCGTTACGTTTAATTAAACTAGATGTTGAGCAATTTCGCTCAGAACAAGAGCTGTTTCCTTTCGTTGATGATTCATAACTTACTCTTAAGGCGATGCGGAGCTTTGCATTCATAATTGGTTCAACATCGATCGAGTGAACAAATAAATATTGAAAGAATATTTGTGTCGTTCATTGGTCCGTTAAAGTCGATTCGATGCAGACGTTTTCAATTACGTAACGATGCGTTTTAGCTTCTTGGCCCATACGATGGTTTTTGTCTGCACTAATTGTTTCTGTTTTTGGTTCGTCCATTTCGAAAGTGTGCACCTAGTTCTTCGACTCAATGTAGACTTTCTCGAGGCTACAAGCTTATGACACAACACAACAGCTTCGTGTGACTAATGGATCTCAATGAAAGAGTTGTTGAGTTGAGTCTGCAGGATGCTTTTGAAATTCGCAAATTCTGCTCATTATTGCTCATTTTTTTGTGTGTGTGTGTGTGTGCTTATTTTCGTTCCTTCCTCTTTCATACCAGGATTTCATTTGCAAGATGTCAAACTTGTTTAGCAGTTGCGGGCAATTTAAGGTCTTTGTTCCGTCCTCGCTCTCTAATCCAAGCGATTTACTCGAAAAGTGCGGTTGCTTGATAAACGTGAAATAAGCATACATAAACCTTGGGTTTGCAAAGCGAAGAACTATCAATGTCGATTAATTTTTTTTTTCTTCTTAAGGTCGTATTTCCACTTCTCGTTTTATTTTATTTTTTTGCAACAAAGAAGAAAGTTTTGTTTTTTTTTAATGTTGCATGAATAAGGTTTACTCATCGCGCAATTACATCATCAACAGTAATAAGATAGTAAATCATTATTTTCAAATGCGAATTTTAAATATTATTCAAATTTAATTAAAGACTTCTACTTGGAAAATACAAAATAAGTATGAATCACAAATATGTTTTTCCTTCCTATTTTTTTCTTTTTTCACTTTCAGTTTATAATAATAACGTTTATTGCAACAGTCATACATAAAAAGGAAACAAATACATTTATAATTTCATTTATTTCATAAAAAAAAACATTGCAAAACTTTACTGGTCATTTTATATTAATTTTTTTTTAATAGTATAATCATGCTCAAACATTATATTTGGCAATCCCAAGCCCGACAACCGAAATGCCGACTGTATCGAAATCCCGACTATGTCAAAATCCCGACTACCATAATCTCGACAATCAAAATCCCGACTATATCGAAATCCCGACAATCTAAAACTTAATAAGATTATTAATTGTTGTTATTTATTTAGGCAATAAAAAATCTGTAGCTGAAAGCCTTGAATCTGAAAAAATGCGAATTTTAAATATTATTCAAATTTAATTAAAGACTTCTACTTGGAAAATACAATATAAGTATGAATCACAAATATGTTTTTCCTTCGTATTTTTTTCTTTTTTCACTTTCAGTTTATAATAATAACGTTTATTTGAACAGTCATACATAAAAAGTAAACAAATACATTCATAATTTCATTTATTTCATACAAAAAAAACATTGCAAAACTTTACTGGTCATTTTATATTTATTTTTTTAATAGTCTAATTATGCTCAAACATTACATTTGGCAATCCCAAGCCCGACAACCGAAATCCCGACTATATCGAAATCCCGGCAATTAAAATCCCGACTATATCGAAATTCCGACAATCTAAAACTTAATAAGATTATTAATTGTTGTTATTTATTGTTAATAACATAAACTAATTCTATTAAAATATTTCTTATTCTTAAGTTTTATAATTAATAAGTCAACGAAAAAAAAAATACAATAATAATTAATATTATTTATTGTTATTAAGAATAAATAACAACAATTAATAATCGGGCAAAAGAGGTCTTAAAAATATTTTTTTCAGTATCCGTCGTACCTATTAAAATATAGCACAATAATCTAAAAATGTTATTGTAGAAATTATAATAATAAAAGTCTCTGTCGGGATTTCGATTGTCGAGATTATGGTAGTCGGGATTTCGATATATTCGATACAGTCGGGATTTTGATTGTCGGGATTTCAATTGACGGTGTTTCGGTTTGTCGGGCTTGCGATATAGACCCTTGAAAACATATTTAAAATATTCTTCAATAAATTTTTAGGCATTTACAAATCTGTAGCTGAAAGCCTTGAATCTGTAAAACTAGAGTTTGATATGCATGAATGAATCATGAATATAACAGTTTACTTCCTGTTTTTTTTTTTTAATTCACTTTCTGTTTATAATTATTGATTTTTAACGATGCGTGTTAGAGTTTTTTTTGTAACAACCAATAAGAACAAAATACGGAATGCTGTTGACCTCGTCTGCATGTTAATATAGCGTGGGTCATTTTATTCGTGAAATGTCAATGAATTATTTATTATAAATTTTGTAGAAAAAAAAAATAATCCAATCTTTTTGACTCATATTTTTATTATTTTATACATTAATTCTGCCTAATATTATTACTTAATAATAAACAAAATTTATTGTATAATAACATACAAACGGCTATTAATAATGATTGGTAACAATATCTAATTTTTGTAATATTTTAAAAATGCAATTAATTGTTGTATTCTTGTATTTTTATGCACAAACAATTTAATTCTTATTCACATTTATAATTATTCACAATAATTATATGAAGTATTGGTATTTCTTATAATTAATTTATCATGCAAAGAAGAATGTTTTATTCAGAATTTATGTTTGTTCCTGTAGATTTAACCTTTAAAATCATCTACGTATATTCTAAACTTCATTTAAATATTAGAAATGGAAAGATACCTTGTTTTATAATGACTTTGATTGGCGTCAACTGTGAACGTATATGTGACGTTTTACAAAAGTTAAGCAATCTGTGCAGCTATAATGAATGATTTACAGTCAACCCTTTTATAACGCAGTGAGTGCGTAACGCGTTATATGGAAACCGCGCTATAATAAACTCGGATTTAACCTACAAACCAGGCTAATTCGTAGCGTGTTCTATGGAAACCGTGCTATAAGAAACTCGGAATTAGTACAAATCACATCATTCGTACCACGTTATATGGAGACCAATAAATACAAAAGACAAGATAAATTATAAATTATTTAAGGATTGATAAAAAAATGAAACAAGAACTAAACTAAAAGACTGTTTTTCAACAAAAAACAATGAAGACTTTTGTAAAATTATGTAATCGTTCAACACTCATCCTCGCTGTCAGATATGAGTCGCCTAACTCGTCTTCTTTTAATGGGCAAAATGTCTTGATCACTTAGTTCATCTTCACATTGGTTTTCTATTGTAGCTTTTTTTTCTAACTCCACTTAAACCTCTCTATAGGGAGTTAAGCAATTTCTTAACTCTCTTTTAAACTTTGCGCTGCGCACCGTTGAACGATCAGTTTGAATGAAATGAAGTTCTAATTCTTTAGCCAAATTTAGCCCTTTTTTCACATCTTGTAAATCGAGATTTGGCACCCATTCGTTTTCCTTATTTTCGTTTACCAATGCATTTGAGGTGGATGCATCAATTAATTCCATCAGTTCTTCCTCATCTAAAGTTTCTTCCCCGAGTACTAGAGTTCTCTTACATCCTGATGGTTTACTGCAAATTCTTCATCGCTTAAACGAGAAGCAATGTTTACTATTTCTGTAACTGGGAGTGAAATTGTAGAATCATCTTGTATTGCTTGAACCATTTGAGGTAAAAGAGGTTTCTAACACGAATTAACCGATGATGGGATGATGTTGAATGGAAACCGCGCTGTAAGAGTACCGCGTTATTCGCAATTTTAGCTCCGCGTTATATGGAAATCGCGTTCTGAGAGTACCGCGTTATAGGAGGGTTGACTGTATTTGTTCGAATGAATATATTTAACTTTTTAATTTTGAGACTATTCTCAATAAAGAAAACAATATATCATATCATAAATGATATGTGAGAAACGAGAAAGCCACTTGACTTAATAGCAATGTTTATGGAGAAACCAAACTAGAATAAGAACTAAACGCGTTGTAGATTTCCATCAATGTTTTTGCTACGAAAGCGAAAAACCGACGTGAATCATCCATCATTTTTCATTCGAAATTAATTGATTGCACACAATTCCCTTGATCTACTAACCATGTTCTCATAGTGTGCACAGTATGTCAATTTATTCAAAAATATGTTAAATTCTTTGGTTACTGTTTACATCTTGTATAAACTATAATTACGACAATCTTAGATGTACACAATATGAGAAACAGTTTCGTCACTAATTTCACTTCGTTTGAAAAACACATGCATAATTAATCAAGTTGTCGTTTGGAAATCGCTTTTAATTGATAAGTTTATATAAAATGACGTTGTTACCTCTAGTTATTTGATTTATCTACAAATGTGTCAAAGACCAATATCGTCACAGTGAATGTTAGTGAAATTATCAATAATTGTAGAAAAGTGTGACACTTTCCTGCAATTTTCCTTAATTATGTAATATTGGTGTATAGTGCAGATGGTGTTAATCAAATTTAAAAATAGACAGATTGCTGATAAATGTTGTTAAGTTATTTCCAATATATTTAAACATTGAAAGTTTGAATTTACTTTAATCTATCTTTTCATATACTGACAATTAATCAAATAAAATTTTATAGTTTTAATCATGTATTTTAACTATGCATTTGAAATTACATCTAGATAATGATGAAAGCAAATTAGTAAACACAAATATTGACTAATGATGAAATAATTTCACATAAGATGTGATTTTTAGATTGAAAAGACGTTGCAGTATTTACCTTTTCAACATTGGTTTTGCCACTAAATCATTGTCATACTTAGTTACTGAAATGATTGTAATTTATGCTAAAATTACTGCTATTTATATTTATAAATTACTTAATTTTTTTTTAAGTAATATTATAGTAATTAGTAACAATATATGTTTGAATTGAACTATAAAATTAGTATAATATATAAATACATAAATGTTGCAATGAAAATTATGTATGATTGATATTATTTCATATTTAAGTTTAAAAATTGTAAAATTAAGATATCCAATCAAATGCAGAAAATTATTTGTTGATTTACCTAACAAATTGTAAAATTTCATTGTTCAATGATGATAACAATTAAATTATACAGTATTTACTAAGAACTAGAAAACAAGGAGTGCGTTTAAACATTTTAATATGTATGAGGTAAAGAAGAAAGAAGAAAATAAGAAGAAACAATTGCAAAATCACTATTTTACTCTCAATTCGATTGTTCTCGAGAGGAAGTGGCGCAATTTACTATATATTTTTTTTTCAGTTCTGCGTACGCCTCGCGCCAAGGCACTTTCCGGCCAATGAATATGAGCACGGTAATTGAAGCGTCTATGGAAATCACAGTAGGGTAGTGTTCTTGCTCAGGGTATCGTAAACGCACTTCTTCGTATCCTCCTCGACGCGTTTCGGAACCTTCTTCGGAACGAACTTGCTCCCGAGAAGCGGCTTCTCGTTCCTCTTCATCTCAACCATTCTTCCGATCAAAGCCCTCGGAGGTTCAACCCTTTTATACTCTGCGTACAGATTCTTCTTCTCGAGAATCTCCTTGTCGAATTTGATGATCGCAGGTATCTCGTTGATATCTATGGGCCCGCTGTACGATATGTACTCGTTCACGGGTTTCTTGTTGTAAGGACACGGAAGTCTCGGCGTCTGCCTGATCTTGTTGTACAAAGGATGAAGCTTTCGATCGTTTATCTCGATCATCCGTTCGGAGACGTTGCGGAACTTCGGTAAGGGATCTTCGAGGAACTCTTTCAAGTGCGGATGCGTCTCGATCTTCCTGACTATTTTCTCCTCTTGGCTGATGGCGTCCGAACCTTCCGGTAGCATATCCTTCTGGATGACGTAACCTCTTCCGCACGTCCTGTAGGCTGTGCCACCGAAGCGCGACAGGTCCGGATCGATTTTGTCCTCAGTGTAATACTTCACCTTGCAGCATTCAACAGGCGGCCGTTTCGTTTCTTCGTACTCGAACAGTCGTCGCCAGAAGGACTTCTTCTTCTGATTGCAAGCCCTCGACGGACACTGATCTGCGGATTTTCCAGTTTTCTTCGCCTTCGTTGCCAAAAACCTAACGATGTACAGGCAACTGCTCGCGTTTTCCTGCAGCGCTGCGTTCAATGCACACGGAATTTTCTGGAGACCTCGGAAAGCCATGCTCTGGGATTTAGAAGACCACACGAATTTTGCACTGTCAATTTGACATTACGGTTGCTCTGTTTTCGGACGCAACTGAAAGTTTGTTTTTAGCGTCGCTCTAGAAAATCCGCAGCAACCCATGCAGCACAACACAACATACATACAACATTATTATATTCTCTTCCATTGAATATTCATCATTCAGTCTTAACTGCCTTCACCATTTGTCATTAAACATTCATTATCGAGGCCACAATTGATTTCATTCCTTCTACAAATGCTTCAATATTTGATTCAAATCCACCTTTCTATATACTTCAAATTCTAGTGGGCGTTCAGTCTGCATTAGTCACAAACCTGTCTCGTGATTTGTTCCTTTTTTATATATCCTTTCCGTGGGCGCAAAAATGAATCGACGAAAATGTCGTTTCGCGACACACTTTTACCTCTTACATCATCGATTATGGAATTCGCTGTAGCTTTCTTCAAGCTCTGATTACCCCAAATTGCATTAATGCACATATCTCCTTCCAATTTCGATTCAAGCATTCATCGTTTGTTTATTCTAATTTAATTGGGTTTTTTTTCGCAGGAAACAAACGTTTGCTATTCCCACGTATTTTTTTTCAACAATTGTAGGAACACACACACTCACATTGCGATTATTGTTTTTTTTAATGCGGATTCCGATTCATTTTCTCCATAAACACACACGATTCAAACGAATCCATTCGCACGCAATATCCGACAAAAGCTTTCAAGCTAATTGCTCTTTTCCCGAATATTAATTAATTAGATCAATTAATTCATCCAAAGAATTATTTCCACTTCATGTAATTGTTTCATTAAATATAATTCAGTTTAATTGCAAGAAATACTTCGAATTCTATGTTTTCCTCTTTTTTTTTATTACAAATTTCATATATTAAAAAGTTGTGGATATTGCAAGTATAAGCATAATTGCATTAAGATAATCTGAATCGTTGCGGAAGTTCCAAAATAATGAAAAATTGAGATTTTTCTATTTTCAAATTATAATTAGTAATAATACTTATTGCAACAATAAATTTACATTAAATATAATTCAGTTTAATTGCAAGAAATACCTCGAATTCTATGTTTTTCTTTTTTTTTTTACAAATTTCATATATTAAAAAGTTGTGGATATTGCAAGCATAAGCATCATTGCATTAAGATAATCTAAATCGTTGCAGAAGTTCCAAAATAATGAAAAATTGAGATTTTTCTATTTTCAAATTATAATTAGTAATAATACTTATTGCAACAATAAATTATACATTAAATATAATTCAGTTTAATTGCAAGAAATACTTCGAATTCTATGTTTTTCTTTTTTTTTTATTACAAATTTCATATATTAAAAAGTTGTGGATATTGCAAGTATAAGCATCATTGCATTAAGATAATCTAAATCGTTGCAGAAGTTCCAAAATAATGAAAAATTGAGATTTTTCTATTTTCAAATTATAATTAGTAATAATACTTATTGCAACAATAAATTATACATTAAATATAAACACAATATAATAACAAAAAAATAAATTAAAGTGTTGCAAAGTCAAATTATATATAAAAAAAAATATAATAGTAATTCGTCAAGGAAAAGATAACAGCAAATTAAAAAAGATAATTTTTGTATTAAAATAATTTTGTGTACTATTTAAAAAATAGTATTTTTATTTAAAAATAAACGCATTACTAATAACAAATTTGGAAAACGTAAATCAATCTGAATGCAAAATGTAAATCACGGACGTTTCTCTTCTCTCAATAGATTAATTATTATTATGCACTCGAGATTCACAGTTTCTGCCGCATTGGGAATTAACTTATTTGGGACGCTGTTCTAATTCCCATTGTATTCAGATTAATTAATTAAAACTGTGTGTAATTATATAGTTAAAAAGTGGAACAACACCTTCAAAATATCATGATTGTATCAAAATGTAAAATTATGATTATGATAATAATATTTTATTTTTGTAAATTATAAGAATTATTGTAAATAAAACTGATTGTAGATAAAATTAAAAACTGGTACAAGTACTCTTCCTTGGGGGATATCAGACATAGTTTAGTGATTCTCAATCCGGGATGTTTTTCTATACATACCCATTCTTCTGGGATCTTTTGAATTTTTTAAGGACGAACTAAAAAGTTTGACGCTCATTCAATTCTCTGTAGTTTTTAAAATTTATTAATTTTTAGATTAATTAAAAAAATGTAAATTATATTTCTGGATTGTATTTTGCAATTCAGTTGATTTGTTTAAATGTTGGGATTTTTAATTATAAAGACATGAAAAAAGTTTATACACTCGGTCCTCTTTTTATGCGGTTTTGAAGTTATATTGTAACTCATTGATTTAGTTTTATGCGGTTTTACAAAAACTATGGAACGTACCCATTATTTTTATACGTATGTCCAGTCCTTCTTTGTGCGATTTATTTTTATGCGTTTTCCTGTGGAACGTATCTACCGCATAAAAAGAGAACCAAGTGTATATTAAGATTTTTTATAATTTTGCTACTACTTTTCATTACATTTTTTATTGCAATTATTTATCTTAATTGTATTAACATTTTCTGCATATTTACCATGATTTATTGCTGTTCATAGACATGGAAAGAAACTTATTAATTAACAACACAACAATAAATAAATGTATATAACTATAATTAATGATATTTATTAGTAATTATTGAGTTGTAATACCAGTTTTGAGGAATAAAAAAGAAATAGTATGTACTCAAACTTTGTTGTAATTGTTTATGTTAATTAACATTTTCTGCATATTTGTTATGATTTGTTGCTCTTTAAATACTTAGAAAGCAATAAAAACAATAAATATATTGTTTATTATAATGTAACATACAACTATAATTAATGAAACATATATAACAAAGGTAATGAGTTAATTTCTATTGTACGAACGTTTTTATGTACGAAGACGAGAAACTTGTTCTTAATAATGAATAGATTCATTTGAAACCATTTTCACCATTCACGTTTCATCGACGTCCGCATGTCGCGCGCGCTCTTCAGCTTTATTTGCTTTTCGGTTCTGTGTGTGGAGTTTTCCCCTCGTAATATCCGGTGCGAGTGGGTGCAGCGAAGAAAGAAAGCAAAAATAAAATGGGAAACGGGTAACGGAAACACGAGATATATGCCCCTTTTGTGAATGTTTGTAGTGAGTGTGTGTGTACACGCATAGAACACACCTGCCTTCCAAATTACGTACGACCGTCAAAAGGTGGGAACTAAAATTGGGAATCGATGGTTTGCAACCTTCGCTCGATGGTGGACAACCTCAACGAAGGTCGCAAGTCCTGCAATATTAATCGTTTTAATTGAGCCACTCTTTATAGGAAAACGAATTGCGTCAAACGAATATAATCAATAATTCTGTCCTGTTCCTTTGATATACACAATTAGTATTCGATTGCGCATACGAATATTGCAGTTAGTGACTAGTTAATTTACTCTTAGTCAGTAGCTAGTTTTTCATAACTCTGTTTGGGTATTGATTCAAAAAGTAAATTAAATTTGAATTAAGTAATTTACAAATTAATTGAAATATTACACTTTAATAATTGAAAAATAGAATGATTACTTTTCTCTATAATGTCATAAACTTAATTCTCGTCTACGAAAAGTATTGGGAAGTTTTACTTTACATTATAAAATGTATTTGAAATCAATATTATATGTTGATATAAAATTACCTTTAAAAATTACAAAGATTATTGTCTAATTAACATAAGTATGATGAATAAACATAAAAGTAATTAAAATATCATTTGGATTACATTTAATTTCTTAAGTATAACAAGATCCACATTTTATTTGCAACATTTAAAAGTAATGTAATTTTCAAACATTATTTCTAGTTCTATAATTTAAAAGTTAGTAACAAATTTTGTAACAATTCTTTATAAAAAGTTCTATTTTATACTCGGAAGACTAAGTAACATATTTTCTTTTCTTTTTTTTTACCTCGAACAGTATTTCAGCAAACATTCATTATTTTGTGTCTTTTTTTGTCCATGAAATTTACTGCAGCTAAAGGATGAATGGTTTCCATACTTTGTCTTCCTGGTCTAGCTGCAGAGTTTCATGTTTTTGTAAAATTTCTAATAATACGAAAATGTTGAGTGAAAT